TCACGGGCTATCTTCCCATGTATTTATCTCAATTTCGATTTTTCTGACGAAAATTGACTTTTTTGAGGGGGGGGGGGGGCTTAAGAGAGAAGACTTTAAGTCATCGAAATTTGATTAGTCAGCAATTGACTCATCAGATGATATCTGTGTGAAGATATGGGAAAACGATAATTTGAAACTATTCTCATTTCAATCTATGCAAGATAGATATACCTAGCTTATCCTGTAACCCTCAATTTCAGCTAACAGACCTATGATCATCTCGAAATACAGCTAGACAGAGACAATGATCTATCACTATTATCTCTATATTTCAGAAATGTTGACTCCTTGGTTATCTGGAGACTGATGATGAAGTGTCCTGCATGATACTCATAGTCCTGAATCCAAAGCGATTAATCACCTTTTCTCTTAAACTGAACAAATACATTGGTATTTTTGAAAGAAATCATACAACAGAAATACCTTACAAATCAAATATCTTAGTGTCATACAAATCATAAAACTTCTTCCATTTTAATTTTGCTTAATAAAGAAAAAACTACTAATCAGTTATAAATAGATAATTAAATTTATTTTCTAGTATTTTCATCGAATGATTATATATGCTTTAAAAATACGTGTAGCATATACTGGTTTAATATTTCGTAAAGTAAATATTATAGAATATTTAATAGATAAAACTATGAAAATAATTGTTGTTTTTTTTTCAAGATTCTTCGATTATCCAGTCATTCGGTTAATAGTCTTAGTTCTGGTCAAATAACAAATTTTGTATCGAACGATGCAAGTCAAATTGAGTTAGCTCTTTATTTTATTCATTATTTATGGGTATTTTATAAAAATTGTTTTGTTTTTGTTTCTAATAAAAAAAAAATGATTTTTATTATAATTCAGGTTGCTCCAGTAGAAATAGCTTTGGTTATTATTTTCTTTTGGCAATATGTTAAATATATTTGTTTTATTGCTGTTGGATATACATTATTTCTTTTAACCATTCAAGCTTCATTTGGTCGTTTATTTGTTTATCTTCGGTATGGAAATTTTTTGATGTTTTTTTTAGTATGACTTTTAAACAAAACTTTATTTTTTCTTTTTATTTCGAATTATAAGAACAAGAATTTTACAAGTAACTGATGAACGTGTTAAACTTATGTCAGAAATAATTAAATCAATGCGTATTGTAAAAATGTATTGTTGGGAAACAGCATTTTATAATAAAATAATTTCAATAAGAAAGTTTGTATAAAAGATAAAACAAAGAAAAATACAATCGTTTTTTTTTTTTATTATTTATTGTTTGATATAGACGTGAAATAATACGATATGGTTTTCGTTTATTACTTGATTGTATTCAAACATTATTGTCTCATACTTATATGAGTGTTACATTTTTAATGATGTATGGAACAATGTGGTCATTAGGAATTCAATTTGATACACGATTTTTTGCACTTGCTTCTTGTATGCTTGGATATATGCGTTTATCGATTATTGATTTTTTTACTTATGCTGTTCGTTATCTAGTTTATTATTTGGCTGCGAAAAAACGTATTCAAGTTAGTAGAAATATTAACTGATATGAAAAACATAATTTTTATATATTAATAGACGTTTCTTCTTCTTGATGAAAGTGAACGAGATAATCGATTATTGTCAACATCTATGATTGATATTGTATCAGATGGATATTCTACTAAAGAAGAAATTCATGAAGACAAAATAATAATTGATAAACCAATAAAAACATCTCCAAGTGTTGTATGTAATTTGAAACAAGCATGTTGGGATCAGGTAAACTCTTTCAATCAGACATGCATCGGATCCAAACATTCGGAATTTTGTCTTGATTGAGATCAGTTTTAATCAATTAATAAAACGAAATAGAATTAAGTCAAAAGACAGAACTTCATGCTTGGCTATGGTAGATCTATATACAGTCGAATAAATTATCCAAAAATCAAAGGTCTGCAGGCATACTAAAAAAAAGTATTAACAATGCTCAGAAATATTTGAATTGGAACTTAATTGAATCTTAAGATACTTCTATGATTCGCTAAGGAAGTCATAGTTGAGTGGCTACACAATAGAGCATAAGAATTCTGACTCATACTGATCTTCTGTTCAGAACTACAGCTAGTATTTGTTATATGGCAGATATCAGACTACAATGTCTACCATTAGGCAACACTTCATACGGCAAGATAGCTAAGATAATTATCTAAATAGTTGATACTGTCTGAGCTTATTAGACAGTTTCTGCAGTTGGACTCAAGTTTGAACGTAAACCATTCGTCTCGAACACT